CTTTGCCTCAGCACTTCTTGAGGAATGGGAACATCTCCACTTTTAATATCTCAGTACCCTTTTCTTGCATAAGTCGGCCTAATGGTTTTCTGAGCCTGTGCAAAGTTTTGATGTTCACGCACCCTACTGCAACAAGTTCCCAAACTTAATTATGTATTGTGCAAAAATGCTTGCGTTGAACCCCCACCTAATGCATCCCTAATTTGACACATTCCTAATTCTTGTGTTAAGATTGATTCTTCTCTATTCACCTTCTCCTTGCAACTCCTGACTTTATAGACCTCTATCAGACTTCCAGATCCCTCATCTTTCCAGCCTGGATTAGCATATTTAGGAGGTCTTTGCAGAGGCACGATTCCTCGTGTCTCTGATCATTCTTGTTGCCCTCCTCTGTACCTTTTCTAGTTCTACCATATATTTTTCACAATGCGGAGGATAAGAACGGAACCGTATACTGTATTCATGCTATATAAGGCTAAAATAATATGTTCTGTTTTGTTGTCTTTCTTTCCTAATAATGCCCAATGTTGAATTTGCTTATTTGACTGCCACTGACATGACAGTCGCAGAACTATCTTTATCTATTGTAAACCCAAGATCTCCTTTCTGAATGACAATAAGCAGATGAAACCCAGCCACTGTGCAAGTATAATAATTAAAATAATTTTTCTCTATGCATATCATTTTACTTTTTTCAGCTTTAAATTTCATCTGCCCTTTCATCAACCAGCCACTCTCGATCATGATATACTTCTGCAGCTTTCTGCTATCAGCTTTCATTTTTATTGTTCTGGGTGCAGAGTTTCACAAAACCAGACATTCAGGTATCACTATGAAAGAGGAAGCCAGATGCACTGACCTACCAGATGCACCACCACCACCACACTTGCTTTGCATTGCAGAACTTCTGAAATTCCCCACTATTTTTTCAAGAGCCACAATAACAGGTTTTGGTAGTTGAAGAAAGATGCTGTCACACCCTTCCCACCACCCAGAACCAATATTTTGGTCCTCCCCTGTCTCCATGGGTTCTCTCATGCTGTTCTGGGCCTGCTCAAGTGGTCCCCAAAGGCAGAAGAGAAGGATGTTACCATTTCTTCCCAAATGCTGGTCCAGAAAAATGGGGGTACCCCTACAAAGGACCAGAAGGAGGCCAGGGCACATACTCCCCCAGTGGCTAGCGAGCCTCCTCTTTCCTGAGCCAATGCTAGCTTGCTGTCGGCAAAAACAGTCAAGTGATTTAGACAGATGGACCTTCCAGAAAATAAGGCTGATGCCTAGGAAGTGATGGCCTACTTAGTGTCAGCACACACAAAACTGGCCCTGCTGCTCAAAAGGTGCTTGTTTTGATTCGATGATCTTTACGCCAGCGCTCTCTTCCCTTTCCCACTGACTCTGCTAAAGCTTCTCTCCTCAAAGGTGGGCTGTAGTGACAGGAGCAACATAAAGAACACAGAAAAGTTCCCTTTGGTTTTTAGCCAGGATATAAACTTGGAAGTTCTCAATTTCATAGATCTGAGGGAAAATAAAAGTTAGAGCACCTTACTTATGATCCTTAATAAAACTAAAAGGCAGTTCTTAGGTCACCTGCTTTTCCTTAATTCACCTCAGCACCCACCTGGGAAGCGCTCTCTTGCTGAGTCCCCGCCCCCCCAACCCTCTCCCCAACGAGGCGGCCGAGCCCCA